GAGACAAACTGATATTGTCTCTATCGAATACAAATCGTTCACAACTTACTACTGCATCATTTGATCAAATGATTCATCGACCGTTCGATAATTTTTTAATAAGTTCAACAACATCTCAATCGAGAAAAAGAATTTTCACTAAATTTTATGATTACAAACTTTGATAAAGCTTTTGAAAAGGTTGCTGAAATCCGATATAGAAAGAAACAACATGATGCAGTTAAAACTTATGATATTAGTTTTTATCAAATAGCATTTGAATTTGATCGAATAATATTTAGCGTCACAAATAAATGTCCACCACTTGATAAAATATTTGGTGAAGATGCGGTATATTTGATAGAAAATCAAACACTTTTTTCATCTTTATTTAGTTTTTTTCTAATTTAGGGTTTGTTTAAAGTACTGGCAAAAATACGACAACAATATGCTAATCAAATGTTAGGACGGAAATTCAAATTTCTAAAGGTGAACTTGATATCTCGTCGGGTAACAATCAAATATTTTCACGAATATTTATTTAAAGAAAAAAATTGACTCTTTGCAAATTATTTTATCATTCTCATCGCGTAAGCTTATCATTATTTATTGTAGGAAATGCTAGTAAATCCATCTTATGTATTTTTGTACAATTTTTTCTTAATTTTGTTAAAATTAAATAACTTGTATACGTGAAAATAAATTTAAAATATTAAAGAAAATTCAGTGGATTCAAAAAAAAAATCTCAATAGGCCTTCACCTAACAATCTATGGTGCAAAACAAACACCTTATTTTTAGCAATTGATGATTAGTTAGTATAATAGCATTGTTTCTCTTTTTGTTGATTACAATTTGAAATGGTTAGATAATGAGATAAATGATCATTCAAACTGTCAAGAATAATGAAAATTGCATCAATCAAACATACAATAGGAATACCTTGTGAGATAGGCAATAAGAAAGACAAAAAATGTAATGATACAGCACTTTTTTCCTTGTGCATGAATATAGATGATATCAAAGGACAAAAGAATTATTTTATCTATAATATGATACAAATACAGGAATAAAATGCATGTCTTTATTTTAGGTTGATTCATTTATTTCTTTTAATGAGTTAATTTATTATTCTTTTAATGTGCTAATGCATTATCTTACACACAGTATATTAGGTTATAATAAATTTGATACAGATGTATGAATAGTTTATGTTGATGGTTCTTTATCTGATGGTGGTGTCTATGAAATAGATACCGGAATATCACGTGTTATAAATTATGTGGAAAAATAAAAGATTTTAGCTGGTTTTTAAATTTTTATTTGATATTTTAAAATATAATATGTTTATACAAATATAATTTACTTTTTTTTAGTCATATAATGACATAGAAGGCCATATACATGCATACAATAGAGAGAAGAAAAAGAAACAATTGAATAAGGATTATATTTTTATCCTTGTCCTTGGGAGAGTTTAGGTTGTAAATATTGTGTTAAAGATATTGATGTAAGCTAATTCATTAATGATACCGTTCTTGCTAATACTAACCTAGACGAAATGATAAAAAACATGGAAGAAGATGTTTAGAGTGTAAAATCTTATACTCAGATAAAAGTGCATTAGAGATTGCTGTTTTTTTTTAATAACATGACGCTCAGTGATTTATAGATATATATGTTTATAGATCTAATATAATGATTAAAATATTTTGATCGATTCATTTCCAATAATGATTTATGTTACAAATACAAATCTGGATGGCATCCGCAATCACCATCGGAAAAGTATTATTAAAGCAGAAACGGTACAAGAGTAAATGTTGCTGTGTCGTTATTTACAGTTTGGCTGTCACCTTCTTATTACATGCTTTCTTTTGATTATCAGCATTGCCGATACGTTCAATATATCTAAAGATGAAAATAAAGTATTTTAAGGAAGCTCAAATGGATATTTTATTAAAACTAAATCTTGAAATATTCGTAGTGCAAAATAGATAAGAAATGATTATGTATCATACAATATGTAGATTTAACTACCTGTTTATGAATTATGTTTTAATTTTCTTGTATTCAAGTGTCTAAATGATTTGCATAAATAACTATATGGCTATAGCTGGTTCACATTTATGAACAGATTTGTCATTTGGTAATTATTTAATCATAGCTAATAATAATCTGAAACATAGATCGTGAGTAAAAGTAGGAAAGTTTATGACAAAAAGAAGGCACATATCAGACTACAGTAAAAGACTCCATATACATTTATTCATCAATAGTATCTTTTTGATTGATTGCTGAAAAGATCAGGCGCGATAAATTTTATATAAATTCTACTTTTTAGAAAATGGATTTTAAAAAAGCTAAAGCATTTTCAAAATTCCATTATTCATCGATCGAATTTGAAGTAGTCAGAAAATATTTGATTTTCGAAACGATTCATTTTGAAAAAAAATGGAAAAACAACAGTACTTTAAAACAATATTCAAAATTGTATTTCTATGTCGAGAAATTCATCGTTAGTAATATTTTTTAATTTCTTGATGTTGATATATCTATTCAACATGTTTTCAAATCATTCGTATTATTTCCTTATAGAAGACTTAAGAAGAATCAAAAATATCGTTTTCTTTTTTTTCTATTTGTCTACTTTATTTTAGATTAATAATATATGGAGTTGAGTATTGACAATGTCTCCACATGGTTAGCTAATAATGATTTGAATGAATACGTTAAAAATTTTTAATCTATCGATGAATCATTTACTATTTTACTAGTCGATCTATTTTTCATCAATTGTAGAAGAAGAAATTGACGATTTATCGTTATAGCATTTAAATCCATTATAAATTGAAGAGTTATTATCGACTAATACAGATGATAATGTTATTAACAAATCAATCATTTGGCTTGAAAAAACATTCGAAAAATAACTGGAGATTTTAAAAAAATAAAAATTTTTCATGTAATAAGTAAGTATTTGTTCATTTGCTTTAGCTGATTAACTTTATTTTCTTTTTTATTTTAGTAGAACTATGGTATTAAACAAAGAATATCTGATACAACTTAAAATATCTCTACCAAGTTCATATATATCAAACCAATCGCTGATCAATCATGGTTAAGCTCAAATGATTTACAAGTTACTGATGCAGCATTTGACCAATGATTCATCAACTATTAGATAATTCTTCAACAAGTTCAACAACATCTCAATCAAGAAAAAAAGTTTTATTATATTACGTGCTTCCAGGGTTTGATAAAGCTTTTCAAGAAGCTCTTAGAGACCCATGACCAGCAAACGTTGGCGCACAATAATAAAAGAAACAGTAATAGTTATAAAATAATTGATCATAATGCAGTCAATACTTATGGTATTGATTTTTATCCAACATCGTTTGAATTTGATCGAATAATAGTTACCATTAAAAAAAATATGCAGCATTTAGTAACATATTCAATGAACATATGGTATGTTTAATACAAGATTGAATACATTTTCATCTTTACTTAATTTTTTTTCTCATTTAGATATTTTTTAGCATCAGTATGAAGAGAAAAATTTTCTCGTGGTCGCCAAATATATACTATTATTCTTCTGAGGCATAACAAAAACAAAAATCATGCGATCATCAAATATCATGAGAAAAATTGAATTTTGTCTTTTTACGTATATTTAATTTTAGAAAAAGAGCGATCAGTAGTCTTTAATGCAACGATGTCAATAGGTGGAATCTATGTATGTTTACTTAATACAACAAACAATGATGATAGTCCAGTTAAAGATAAAATGGATATTACGCATATATATCGTCAATGTATTGTTCAAGAGATGAAGTCAATCAAAAGAATCATCAACGCTTATCTAGCTTTATCAGTAACCAATTGATAAGTCCTAAAGTGTATTTTTTTTTTGATCAATTCGTTCAAGTAAGCTGGCATAATATCAAAACCACATATGAATTCATTTTTATTATTTTTTCTATGAACAGTTGGTTCGTAAAATCAAATCAATCTTCGCTGTGATTTATTTGGTGAAAAAGTAGTTCAAGCATTAGAATCTAGTTGTATCAAATTAATCAGTTATTTGAATCATCAAATAAAATAGAATATTTCTGCAGGTAATACATTATATTAATCTATATACAGTATTTTCTTTACTTTAGAAGAACAACCAGTCTTTATATTGAAATGATTGATTATAGAACGTCACAAACACTCCAAAAAGCTGTTATGAAATCATATTAGTAATCGAGGACCATTTAAATTATTGTATAATTCTTATTAATTATTTTTAATATTGTTAATTTTAGGAAATAATTAAAACCTATCCTATCATACAGATAAAATCGATTAAAAAAATAAAAAATAAAACTTTGTATACTTTTGTGTAATTTTTTCTCAATTCTTTTAAAATTAACTATTTGCTAGTTCTATTGATAGTAGTTCCAGAAGTATTTTTTTCATTGAATTGTAACTACTTCTTTTTTTTTACATTATTTGTTTTAAACGTGCAATAAAATAAATACATAAAGAAACTCAACCTCTCTGTTGTTGTTGTTGTTATTATTTCTATTATTAGGACGTCAACGTGTTTATACTTTTCAGTAGGAAAGTGTGATGCGTATAAAGAAAAAAATAAATGGCTGCATGGTATAGTGCACATTCATCTGACTCTTCATCGCCGTTTTTTGATCTGTGTGAATAATTGAGGACAGAACAAACAAAACTACTGTAATATTCGTATGAAATACAAACAATATTTGATCGAAATGTCATTCTCTCAAATATAGCATTTGCACTCAAAAATAATGTCTTTTTTGTGATATATATACTGCAAAGTATTGCTTTACTTTCATTCATACAACAACGTCGACAAATAAAATTAATAACAAATTTAACAAGTAAGTGTATTTCTTACAAAAGTACAGTCTCTTAAGAAAGCCTTTGTAGTTTTCTGATACTCAAGCACCCAGTGAAAAATGTTCCTATGAAATTTTGGAGTCGTTATGATAATCAGTAGATAAATCTCAATCTTTCTCTCAGTCATCCATATTTTGCACTAAAATCGAAATGAAATCGATTTCAATGCTAAAATTTATTGAGAAAATAATCCAATCAATCGGTTTTTCGTATTTTTTTTTCACTTATAATCCGATTTTAATTTAAAATCAATTAAAACTTTTTTCCTCAATTGAAATATCAGTCAACAAAAATCGGATTGATGCATTCCTATCTGATCGTTAACATATGAACTAATCGAAAAAATCGACTAAACGTATAATTCAAAATAGTTGCATCGTTGGAAAGAGCGCAAAAAACTGAGTATTATTCTATAATATGAGTCCAGACCATGGTGTTGCCTCGAGCAAAACTTTTTAAAATACTCTTCACTACAAGAACGATTTTTTGTCTTTCTTTATTTTTGTTCATAACAAAATGAAAAGAAAAATTATCCACATGAATGATAACAAGAGACAAGAGCTTGAAGCGTTCTTGAAAACGATAAATGAAATTAATCTATTCAACATAAATTAAACAATAAACAATTTAAGTTTCTGATAATATGAGTTTTCAAATTCAGAAACTTAGTCCATAGTTCACTTTAAACTTTAGTTATCTTAAAAGTTTTTTATTATTTGAAAACTAAACAGCTTGGTTGTATTCGGTTGAAATAACTAGAAACAATATTTTTTCTATCAATTGAAATAGGTCAAAATTTTGTACTGTGATCTAATTTAATCATATGAAATCCTTAGAAATTCTTTGTGTGATGTAGACAAAATAAAATTACAAGGTTAGAAACAGCGTGAAACACTTCGCAAGAAGCAGAAATTATCTGAAAGAGGTAGGGATCCTGTCTTCGACAAAAGTTTTTAAAAGTAGATTTCGTATGAATAATCTTTGCTTCTTTCTAGTGTTTGCTGAACAATCTATTTATTATCTTCTTTCTTTCGCCTTGTTCGTTGTGATTCATAAGAATATATACAGCTGAACATGTGCTTATGAATCAGAATGAATAAGATGAGAGAACGAAAATTTAAAACATGGATCGTTCCGAGCAAAATAAAAAGAATGAAAGATTCTTGCTTAAAAATCTAATTTTTGAAAATTTTGGCTGGCGGCTTGATCGTACTCCTCCAAGATAATTCGTACTGCTAGCTCAGTTTTTGATGATCTTTCTAAAAATGTGATTCTTATTGTCTGCATAAGACAAAAACAAATTACATGATTAGAAAGACTAATAAAACTGAACAATATCTAAGGCTTTCTCCAAAATAATTTCAATCGAAATCTTCAGTAGACGTTGTTAAGAATTTATTTCACTTATTCAAAATATCATATTTTTCTTTATTATATTCGTTCTTCTTCATCAAGCTGTTTCACAAGGACGTATAGCGAACACGTGCTCATGAAGCAATTTTATGAAGAAAAGTCAACATGAGTAAGAAAATGATGATGTTTAAAATGATTCAAAGATCTTTGTAAGGTTTTCGTAAAATCAATTCTTAAAAACCTTTAGTGAGAATTTACAATATATTATCACGAAAGCTTTATTTCTTATTCAAGTTTATCAGTCTTTCTAATTCTTATCATTTTTTTGGTCAGATCAAGATACAAAATTTTGATCTATTTGCACTGGTACAATAAAAAATTAATTTTACTTACTTCAACCGAATACCACCAAGCTATTTAATTTTCAAATAATAAAAAAAAGTGAATAAAATCAAACTTTTAAGATAAATAAAGTTTAAAGTAAACTATGGACTAAGTTTCTGAATTTGAAAACTCATATTATATTCTATAGAAACTTAAATTATCTATTGTTTAATTTATTTTGAATAGATTTATTTAGATTTATCATTTTCAAGAATGCTTTAAGCTCTTGTCTTTTGTTATCATTCATGTGGATAATTTTTCTCTTCATTCTGTTATATACATGAATATATATCATCGCAGCTGAAAGAACGAAAGAAAAAATAAAGAAAGATAATAAAAAATCGTTCTTGCAGAGAATAGTATTTTTAAACTTTTGCTTGAGATTACATCACATCCCGCACTCATATTGTAGAATAATACAGTTTTTCGCACTCTTTTCAACGATACCATTTTTGCGAATTAGACTGTTAGTCGATTTTTTTCGACAAGTTGATATAAAAGTTAAAAAAGTTAGATCAACCTTTAACATTGTTCCTAGCAAAATATTTCATAAATAGAATCAGTGAACGCACTTGTGTGTGAATAACCAGTGCGATTATTTTGAACATCTGATGATAAAAAACTGTGCAATTAGAAGAGAGAAGAATAACGACAAAAACGAAACAGAATACACATAACGATAATATGATCTAACGTGTCAGTCAAGTTTTACAGAAAAAGAGTTCTCGTCGAAATTTTAGTGTTATGATATTAATTGAAGCGTGATCAAATAGAATAGAAAAATACAACATTGTTTTTTCTATTGACTACATAAAATAAGAAAATTTCTTCAAGATTTCTATACACAAATAAGGCATCTCCGCCATTGCTTTTGGATTTCCCGAAGTATAATTATATTTAAAAAGAATTTTGTTTCCTGATTTAAATTTTAAAATAAATATAAATTATAATAATTTATATTTATTTTAGATTTAAACTATAAGAAATGAAATAGATTTTAAACATAAATTATTTCCACTTAATTTGCGATTTGTCAAATTACAAAGTGAATTATAAAGTGAATTATAAATTAAATAAAACTAGATCATTCTACATCTTTTTGAAGTTGCATTGCAGTCAGACGAATAAAGAAAAAATACGTGATAGCGCAATTAAATTTTAACCACAATGAAATCGTAAAAAGTGCACATTTTTACCTGTTCACAACGCATAAAATTCTCCGTAGAAATATATGTCCGTTCAAAAACCTGGCGCGTTATGAACGCGTTTACATGTGCACCTTTTATGATTTTATTGTCGTTGTGATGTCTCCATGTTTTTCTTCTTTCTCCATCTCATTTAGATGAAAATGAAGAGGAACAATTTGTTTTATTTATAATTTCAGAAATTATAAGTTAAGTGCAAATAGTTTATACTTAAAAAGAATTGTGAAAAAAATTAGATTTAAAAACAAATATAAATGATGATAAGTTCTATATATTCGTATACATAAATTATAAAACAAATAATTTTTATTTATTGTGAATTGACATTACTAATAATTTCATGAATGCATAGCTGAAATTCAAACTGAATATAAACCGATAATTCTCACACTATGGAAAAGAATTGTATTCAACAATGCATATAAATTTTGATTGTTTATATTTTAAGAAAATATAAATGATGATAAGTTATGGGTATTGTCAAATATAAATTCAGAAAAAAATTTATATAAAAAAATAAATAGAAATCATTATCATTTATATTTTGAGTAGATATAAGTCACTGATAATTTATATGAATGATAAAATGACCATAATTGTAGTTGAAAATCTAATTTCCATTCCAAGAGCTTAGCTTGCGAACTGAACACCAATAAAGCTTTCGCTTTCTAGTACCCAGAAATGACTAATGGATGTTTTATGTGTTTTTATTTCAGTAAAATGTTTTCGAAATATATCTTCTCCGGATTCGGAATATTGGTTGGCCCCCAAACACATGGGATTCGTATGGTGGCCATTGGTTTATTGATTGCTGTATTTCTCAAAAATACTAATGCAAACGCTGTGGAAAATTATTACAAAGGTATGTCAACTCTTCTTCTTTCAGCTAATTCGTAGATTCTACTGTATGTTGAGCCATTATTGTAAAAGGTTCAAAACTAGTATGAGAGAACAGAAGCAACAGAAAATTCAGTTTTCTATTAACAGAAACGTATAACAAAGAAATCTTAATCAGAAAAGCGCATGAATAATCTTTCATGAAAAGATTGCATTCAAGACGATTAGAAGCATTAAGCTTGTTTAAAGGAAATTTTGATTGTTTCAAACCCATTTTCCATTTTACAGTTCAGAAACAGCCAGTGATCAAGAAAAATATTATCTTTTATCCGAATTATTTTTTGTACATCGATTATCTTTGAGCAAATTTTTCCGATAATGACTCAGTGTAGTTTTGAAAAACAATGTTCTGAGAAACGACTGTCAATTTTGATCCAGTATTTTATATTTTAGATTTTGTCAAACATGCACGACGCTTGTCAGACATTGATTTGCTATTATATTATTTATTACAGTCAAAGCGCGGTGATATACCAACGGGTAAGCAGCTTTATTTTCCATAAGTTTTTGTATGTATGAGCGAAAATATTTTCATTGGTCAGTTTTTGAAAGCATAAGTTAGTATCAAAATTTTAAAAAATTGAGAGCTCTAAAATTTTGCTCTGGAATAATGTTCAAATTTATAGTTTGATCAACTTGTTAAGCCTAAAAGTTAAAGAATATTGAATCCCTCAACCTTCACAAATTTCTTTAGTCAAGAAATCTGAATGCAAATATGTTTTCAGCGTAGTAGAAATGTCTTGATAGCACTCTGCATATCATCTAAGAGCCAGTTATGAAATATTACGAGTTATTATTCCCAACTTGCTAGTATTTTGATGAACTTCAGCCACCATAAAAATGTTCATTAACGAGGGTAGTAGTCGAGCTCATATTTTGCCCACAAGTAAACCTCAATGTCAATAGCCAAAGTCAAAAAGAATTCGTACCCATGAACTGTTGAAGTCGATTTATGACCATTTTACTAGATTTTCGATTTCAGGCAAGGCATTCATGAAAAAACCAAACGATGATATTTTGATCTGAAATTTTACTCATAAAGCGACCTCGTGATTATTAGAATATCCTCAAAATTTCAGCCAAAACGAATGCTTTATCCTTGATATTAGAGGTCTGATGTTCGATCTTTTTTATTTTATTTTCAAATCGGAAAAATGTCTTCACACACATACATATATGTTATCTGAACTCTGCACACACACTCTCTATCTCTATTTGACCAAAAATAACATCTACATATATATCAGTGAACGAGATCAAGGTTAAACGTAAGGACAAAACAATAAAGAGTGATCAAGATTATATAACATCAAAGAAAGATCTAACTAGAAGAAAGAGGAAAGGAAAAAAGGAAATGAAAGACATATATGTATTTATTCACTGTCCAGAGTTCAAAACATCAGGACAAAATAGAATAAAGAAAATGACTTGAGATATATCATATCAAAGAAATAGATAACAAAAAGAAAAGAGAAACGAAAAAAGAAAAAAAGAATATAGTACCAGGGTTATCCTCTAACACAGATCTTCGAATTTTGGACCAGTTATTCCATCATATGAGATCCGTCATAGCCAAGCCTGAAATCATTTTTTAGCTTACATCTGATTCCTTTTGATAATTAACTGAAAATGATGGCAGCCACGACCAAACCCAAACCCGAACTTTGAGGCCGAACTCAAACGTTCTGATTCAGTGCATACCTAGTCTATGTATACTTATATTCATCATATCTTTTGACAGTAAACAAACACATACATTTTTCTTTCAATTTCATTGAAAAGCATGATATTAACACTTATTTACTTATTTTCGAACCTGTAATTGCATTAGCACCAACAATATGTACAGCTCAAAATGTAATTGGAACTTGTATTTCAACTGCTTCATGTTCAGGTAAATCAGTTCCTGGCTATTGTCCTGGTGCTGCAGACATTCAATGTTGCATTCCACAAGGAAGTACTTGTACCCCCAATGGAAAAAGTGGAATTTGCATTTCAACTGTATACTGTGCTGGTACATCTGTATCTGGTTATTGTCCTGGTGCTGCTAACATCCAATGTTGTGTTGCCAGTGATGGTGGTTCATCAGGTTCTGCTGCTGAACTTTGTGGAAGTTATGCTGGTGCTACTGTTATGTCAATTACTGGTAACAATAATGTGATATATTCAGTAGTAAAAATAAGATTAGAACATCTTTCCAATCCAGCTATATATTCAAATTTACCAACAGAATCGGATAATACAATGACAACTTCAACAGCTTGTGCTTTTGATAAGATGGCTACAGCTGCTAAACAAGCAGGTGTTACAATCACAATTGCTTCTGGTTTTCGTACAGTTGCTCGTCAAAAATACTTTTGGGATTGTTATCAAACACAGGCATGTAATAATGGCAATTTAGCTGCTCAACCAGGTACGTCAAATCATGGTCGAGGCGTTGCTCTCGATTTGAACACTGATTGTGGCGGGCAAACAGGTTCTACACCTAATTGTGATGGAAGCGAAGTTTATCAATGGTTGAAAAATAACGGACATAAATATGGATTTAAACGTACTGTTCAATCAGAACCATGGCATTGGGAATATGTTGGAGCTGGTGCTACTCCTAGTAGTTTCACTTAGAATATAATTTTATAAGACAGTGTGAAATTTAAAGAATAAAACAAATAAATTATATTATTTACATCTACTTTCAGAAATAGTACAAACATTTTTTTTGGTTATTTGATATTTTGATTTCTGCAATTAATCTAAAATTCTGACAGAATATTGTGTATTCAGTTTGATGGTAGAAATCACTTACGTAGGTGGAAAAATCTTCCAAAGATCGTATAAGATCTTATGAACAATTGGAAGTCATAAGATTCATGGTGTATGATCTTACAGGATCGTACAAATATCTTATTGTAAGATTTAATATGTTTCTTACTACAAGATTCTTGCAAAGTCTGATGAAAGGAATCTTGTAAGATCTTATATATGATCTTATAAGATCATAATTTTAGGTTTGTTTCATGTAAAGAGTTTTTATAACGATAGTTTTATGCAGTTTAATAAATGTTTGAGCGACTAAAAACGCTTTAATTTAAACGCTGCGTCATTTAGAACTAAAAATACATCTTCTGTTTAGTGGTGTTTATCTGTTGAAAAGTCACGCCGCTAATCAAATTCGTTTGACTAATCAATTTATTCTTGTTTTATATGATGTTTGTCGAATAAGTTATTTTTGCACTCCAAGTAGATAAAAGGAAAGAGAAAAGGCAAAAATATTGAATGGTGATATGATCACAAATAATAAGGGATTGATTCTCACCTCATTCTATTTTTTTTTTCTAACGTCCGACAGATGGGCTGTGGTCTTTTGGGTTGGGGTGGATGTGGGTATGGGTTTGGGTGTGGGTTTGGGTGTGGGTTTGGGTGTGGGTCTAGTTCTGGCTGTTTTTATCTATATCCACCCACACCCATACCCTCGATTTTGATTAGTCGATTACTAACCATTCACATTCTAGTGCCATTTTTTCCTCTATTATTCGGACAAAACATAGGGTTATTCGGGCCCATCTTAGAGTCATCGGGGATCCTCTTTCACTTGACCCGAACACGAGTAGGTTTTGTTCTCACAATAGCGAAGAAAAAGCTTCTCCGCATCTGATTGGTCAATTATCAACGAATCAGATTTTAGTGCGATTTTTTCTTCTATTGTAAGTACAAAACATTGTCCTTACAATAGCGAAGAAACAGCTTCCTCGATTCTGATTGGTCGATTATTAACCAATCAGATTGTAGTGCAGTTTTTTCCTCTATTATTCGGACCAAATACAGAATTGTTCGGGCCGATCTTAGGGTTGTCTGGAGTTCTCTTTCACTTGACCCGAACATGACAATGTTTTGTCCTTACAATAGTGAAGAAACCGCTTCGTCGCTTCTGATTGGCCGATTATCAACCAATCAGCTTTAGTAGCCCAATTTTCCCTCTAGTATTCTAGATGACGCTACGTATTCCTGTATTATAGGACTGCAGAGTCCGAGGGTACCCCCTATAGTAAGACTTGAGGGTCCAAGGGTATCTCTCTATAATAGAACTTGACGACCCAAGGGTATCCCCTATAGTAGGACTTGAGCACCTAAGATTACCCCCTATAGTAGCACTTGATGACTCAAGGGTATCCCCCTATAGTAGGACTTAAGGACCTAAGGGTATCCCCTACAGTGGGATTTGAGGACCCATCGGTACCACTACGAACCCAGGAATGATCGAATCTGGGAGGGTGGGTTTGGGTATGAATGTATTATTGTTCCGCACTCACACCCACCCACATCCACATCCACACCCACCCACACCCCCATACTCCCACACCCACACCAAAACGTTGTCCTATTTATTATATAACGGTGAT